ATTTTTAATGTCGAGAATAGAGGTCACGCTAAACGGCCCAATATTTTAATAGGACAACTTTTTCTTGATTTTGTGATCAAATTATCTTACAATCCAAATGGAAAGCAAATGAGTATCAATCAGTTTTAGTACAGCATTAATTATACAAAATTTAGCAATCCATTTCGGATAATTAGTATTAATAAAATGTAGTAGGTGCAATAAGATTCACGAGTTTAAGATGGATGTTAACAATTTGATAATATGGCGTTTGTATCGTGGACTATAATATACAGCAAAAATGCACGAACAAAAATCATGTAACTTTAGTGGAAATTTGAAATTTTGTTATTAATCCGTTAAGGAATTAATTTATGATCTCCTCCGTCATATAAAGTATGTTCGAAAGATCAAGGGCGGTGCACTCATCAAACAACTTTCACTTACAACCCTGCTTTTAGCATAAATTAATTTTAAATAAACTAATCAACTCTAAGAATATTTAGAACTGTAACTAAAAAAAATTAACCCAACGAAAACTTAATAAAAAATGATATAATATTTTACCAATTATACTTCAAATGATAAAATTATGTGTCGTACTCAAAAACGTAAGATTAGTTAATAGTAAACTCTCTAATAATGGATGTAGGCTTCAAAGTATTGAGAGCCCTGTTATTTTGGTTAGGGTGGTTAGGGAAACTTAATTACAAAGTACTTTTGAAAAAAAAACATTGTTAGTAGTTTGACTCATTAAAAAATACAAATAGAATCATGCAAAAGTATAGTTTTCTTTTTCTTAAGATTGAGTGATTGAGGATTTTTGAAAATATAGTATTGCGTAGAATATTAGGACCGAAGAAGGATGAGTCAAACGGAGAATTTGGGCGGTTACACAATGCCGAATTGCGTGAACTGTGACCGGTTAATAAAATCGACGTGATTACATTGAGACGTATAAAATGGGCTTGTAAAATTGTAAAAGTATGATAACATTTTTACCAAGGGGAGGAAAGTCAAATTGTGCATAAAAAGCAAAAAAATGTCAACTAGCATTGAAAAGAAATTAATTACCTGTTATTGTTCAAACCATAATACTATTAATTAGTAGTAAGTTTTAATATCCCTTATGAAATAATTAAACCTTGATACTGGAATTATTACAGATTTTGTCAAAATATAATAATGTTTAAAAGATTCTATTCTGAATATAAATATTAATCAACAAGCAATACTAAGAATAAACTTATAAATATGGAAAACGTAAAATATGAAATCATTCATTTATTGTAAAGTAAAAACGTTCTGGTTGTTTTATGTATTTATTCCTCAATATTTTATAATTATTGCCTTTTTCACTATTTAGTTTCATACTATTGTACTTCTTAAGACATATTTCGATGTTTTATGTGGCATATAAAACTGGACCTTTGTAATAAACAATAGGATTATGAAACAAATAGCTAACTTCAGACATTTAAAATATACAAAAAAATTAAAAATGATGTTCAATAGCAAATTTTAAGAAGAATAAGTGGTGAACGAGTGGGATAAAAACTAATGCAAACACATAACAAGACATTTATGAAAAATTCAATAGTTTTTTATTTCTATCTTCCTGAGTCCAGCATTCATAGGTTTGTTTTCAGTTTAAAAATATGTATATTCCCCTTCATAGGCATGTTCTCTTTCATTAAAATTAAACACACACACACACACACACACACACACACACATATATATATATATATATATATATATATATACTACAATGTTTTTATTAATCGACCATTGTATATTAACACTTAAGATGTCAATTATAGTCGTGTGATATTTCATGATCTATTATCCGACTATAATTGATTCAGTTTTTTATATATATATATATATATATATATATATATATATATATATATATATATATATATATATATATTATATATATATATATATATATATATATATATATATATATAATATAAGTTTGCTACAGTGTACTACAACACTATTGCAACCATTAGTATGTTATATAATGACATATATGTTAATAGTGATTATTAATTTGTACTGGTGAAAATACGTGTAATTTTATTCTTTATACAAAGAATAAAATCTCTAAATTCTATAAATAAATAAATTACCCTAGCCGATTTACTCTCAATAAATCCGGTTTTAAGATAATTTGACTGTGGAGATGTTATCAAGATTGTGAACATAATCGATTTGCCTCAGATTTTAAAAGACCAAGCTGAACATCTCCCGTTTTTAAAAATAGTAAAACGGACTGACTGTAAGCAAGGAATGATAGTAAAAAAGTTAAAAGAGAAACTGAGAATATTCGTTTCCCCAAAATTAGGAAACGAAATCATTTAGATTATTCATGTCATTATGGTCACATTGGTCCACCACAGATAATCGTCATATTCAGGTTGCATTATTACTTCGAGGGTCTGGATAAAGCCGTTCATAACTTCTGTAAAAGTTGCCATATTTGTGTTAGGAACAATGTCCGTTGCAGTCGAGCTATCGGTCTTCTTAGTCTGTGGCCCAGACCCCCATACCGTGCACCCCCCCCCCCCCCCCCTCACATCCCTATAAATTGCATATCGTTGTGTTTCTTATAACTATTTATAAAAAAAAAAAAACAATGTTCCAACAAAAAAAAGTGAACGCACTGTCCCAAAATGGCGTCCATGCATGACGGACTGATGACTTTGACTTTAGTTAGTTTTGTGGTCACTGAGAATCAGTATTTGGCTCAATTTCGTCATAGTTGGTCTTTTATTAAATCAAGATAGTCAGAGAATAATAAAAGATGAAAACATTTTTAAAAAATAATTGGCTTAGGCAATAAAAACCACCAGTAAAGTCAATTTTTTTAACAAAATAATTTTTAATTTGAAAATCAAGTTTGTAATTGAAGTGCCAACAATAACACAAAATGTGCTTAAATAAAACATCTGGAGAATATATTTCTCTTTCTGAAACACTGATTAATTTTAAAAATATTTGAAGCAGTCTGAGAACAAGATTTGAGATAATAACCAGATAACAAAGTAGCAAAGACAGAATGATACGAATATTGAACTTCAGTTGCTGCCATGGCACTTGATACTCCAAAATCACAGTGTTAAATTGCAAACGTTAAATAAAGATATTCAGCAAAGTATTTTTGAATTAATTTTTATTATTATAATTATATCATTTTTACAAAAGAGACCTTCTTAAATGACCTCCGTATAGAATAAAGGAAATTAAATTTTAAAAAAAGATAGTAAATTTTTTAATTTTTTTGGACAATTAAATTATTGCATTAATATTTGTTCGCTAATAAAATCAATATAATGTAACAAAAACGTTATTATAGCACTATAACTAAGCCATTTATCAGTACTGAATGGTGTGACAGAGGCCTGTAGGCACCTAAACCAGTATAGCTTTTCAGCCGCTTAAGTTCATTTTCTACGGAACTGCTCCAAATATTTTAACTAGTAATCAGTGTTTTATTTTAGAAAGAAAAATATACTCTCCAGATGTTTTATTTACGGACCTTCTGCATTATTTTTATGATTTTTTCACGTTTTATTGTTTTGTGACTATCCAGCTTTAATAAAAGAGCAAATATGACGACATTAGGCCGAATGCTGATTCTCAGACCAAAAAACTAACTAAAGTCAAAGTCATCAGTCCGCCATGTTTGGACGCCATTTTGGGGAAGCTCGTTCACATTTTTTGTGGAAACGTTGGTTTTTTTTTAAATAAATATTTACAAGGAACACAACGATATGCAATTGATAGGGATGTGGAGTGCGGGGGGAGGGGGGTGCACGGTCTGGCCCACCGTTTATCTCTCACAATTGGGTCTTGCCACTGTGCCGTTCCAAATAATGTCACTTGAGAGTGTTGGTGGGCTTTTAGTAAATCAGCCACCAAAGAAATTTATGCACATTTAGGTAGACCATTTCACCAGATATGCCAGGATCTCGACTAGTAAGGGTTAGAGTGCTCAAGACTTTATAAATTTAACTCAGCCAATCGCTAAAAAACATAATATTTCAATCATATCAACCGACAAATATGCTGTCATAAATTCAACTTATTTTCAAAACAACTTGATGAAAAATAGTATACAGATTGTATTTGCCTTCATCGATCAGCCAGAATCTAATGAGCTTAACGAAAGATTAAATCAAACGCTTGTGAATCGTTAAGATGTAAAATAAACAACGAAACCAATAAAGCCTGGCCGGTTCTCACAAAGGAGTGTGTTAGTGAGTATAATGATACAATCCATAGTTCCACATGATTTGCACCATCTTACTTACTAGAAACAAGACATTTCCCCTCTGATCGAAGAAAATCCGTCTTCCCTTGAAGAAGATCGTAAAATAGCCCTACAGAATTCAATAAGAAGTTTTCAAATAAATAAGAACCGAGTAGATAGGAATCAACGCCATCATAATTTTAACATTGGAGATTTGGTGTATATCAAAAATGGTAACAAAATTAATCGCAACAAACTCGACCCCATACGAATGTACCATTTTCAATAGTCCGCCACATTTCATCGATGTTTTATGAAGTGGCTAGTGGAAAGAGAAAGAAGATCTCCAACTTCTTTCATTTCAGTAAACTCCTTTCTTATTCTAGGTATGAATCATCTTCAGCAGGAAAGATGTAAGTTTGTTACAGTGTACTACAACACTGTTGCAACTTTCAGTGCGTTATCATTATTGTTATGTAATGACATATATGATTATTAATTTGTACTGGTGTAAATAAGTGTAATTTAATTCTTTATACAAAGAATAAAATCTCATTAAAACAATCTTACTCTCTCTCTCTCTCTCACACACACACACACACACACACACACACACACACATATATATATATATATATATATATATATTAAAATTTTATATATTTACATATTTTATGAACAATATTCTCTATAACTACTAATTTATTTATTGAACAATACAATTAACTTACTTTAAGCATGTTATGCTTTGGGACAGATGCAAAACAAAATGGACAACACTGAACCAAAAGGAATAAAAGGTGATGTTCATCAACACCCAATGATGTCTGGACAAGAAGATAATAAAGATTTGAAACAATCTGTGATGGAAGGCCAAGTTACAATTCAGGTATGTGTCTATAAGCAAATATATTTATAACCATACATATACACGACATTTATACATTTCTTATTGAAAAACCCTTAGTAAACCATTTTTTATTACTATACGCTTTAGTATGTTTTGGAAAAAAATCCTGATGATAAGGACAATATCAGACAACAGAAACAACAATCACATAGTAATTTACAAGAATCCATGATGGATGGGAAGGATATTCAGATACCTACATATTGTCAAATATATACTAACTTATTGATTATGGAAAAATCCTGGGTAATCAGGAAAATATTTCTGATGAAAAGAATGACATAATAAAAAAATTAAGAATCAGATAATGATTTGCAACATCCCATTATACAATGCAAAAACATCATTCAGGTAGCTAATGGGGAATTATATATATATATATATATATATATATATATATATATATATATATATATATATATATATATATATATATATATATATATATGTATATGTATATGTTACATATATAATATAATAAAATGTTTTAAATGTGAATTTATGGTGTTTAAATAATAATGTTATGATTAAAGTGAAACTTTTATAACTTCTAGATCTGCATTGATAGGATATATATATATATATATATATATATATCCTATTACCGCATCAGAAATATATATCCTAATTAAACATCATAAGTTCACATTTTAACCTATAAAATGGATTCATTATTTTTAAACTTTTCCTTTTTTTTTTACAATTATATTATTTATAGAGTAGAAATTATTTGTTGATGATTTTCGATTATTATATATATATATATATATATATATATATATATATATATATATATATATATATATATATATATATATATATATATATATATATAATATGTAAACCTATTATTTGTTTACAAATCTAGTCTATTCCCAGATATGTTTTCTATTCTATTCTATATATTATAAATTCTAAATATCATGTATAAGTAAAACAACATATATAAAGTTTTATATATATAGAAAAAGATGCCTGATGCTGTAGATGATATCAAACAGAATGATCAAACAGGTGTTTTACAAAATATCATGTCTATTATAGAAAGTCTAGATATTGTTCAGGTACCTACTAAGGAACATATTTACAACCAAAATATGTAGTTAAATAATTTATTGTTTATTAATGGCATTTAGTTAACAATTTTTTTTTTAAAGAACATGTATAAACTTTTTATTGTTTAGACAAAGATGCCAGATGTGGTGGATGATAAACTTAAACTAGGAGAAAAAACAGATAAAAATTTGCAACAACACATGTTGGAGAACGAAGGCATCCACACACACAAACACACACACAATTTAATTATTTAGCTAATTTGTTTAAAAAAAGGAAAAAGGAACCCTATTATTTATCCAATAATACATTATAAATATTTTAATTTATAGGAAATGATTCCTGATGTTGAGGATTACAAATGTGAACAAACCCAAACATCAGATTGCATTCCGCAAGAACCTATGCAGAAAGACCAAGATAACATTCAGGTACCAACAGCCATATATATTTATAATTGAAAAATCATTAATAATCATTTTTTTTTTCAAAGTAAACATATAAACATTTGTAAATGTATGAAAAGAAATGTAATAATGATATCAAACAAAATGAAGAATCAGATAATAATTCAAAACAACCTATGATGGAATGCCAACTCATTGTTTAGGAAAGTTAAAGTATATATATATATAATAATATGTGTGTGTGTGTGTGTGTGTTTGTAATTATGTATTTATCTGATACAATATAAACAGGTAATAGCCAACAACTTGTATTTCAATTAATACATGAATAAAAGAGTTTATGTTTAGGCTACCATGTGAGATGGTGTGGATGACCATATTCAATAACAAGAACAATTGTGCAATGATATATTTTGAATGATTTCATTAGGACACACACAAACATTTATTTAATGATTTAACTAATTTGTTATTACATTATAAATATTTAATTTTTAGGAAAAGGTTCCTGATGATAATGAAGGCCAAAATACAGTTCAGGTATGTTTACTTGATTTATGTAATGTGCTTTATTTTCAATTTCATTACTTAAATTAATTTATTTTGTAATCAACCTTAATTAAATATGTCAATTTTTATAATATTAAAATGATTTAATTTGAATAATTATAGTTATCATATATATACCATCTTATTTATTAAAATAGGTTATTATTAAAAAAGGTGTTCTGGTGTTTCGTTTTTAAATAATTTATTTGCCTATTTTTATGTTCAGGAAAAGCCATCTTTTGATAAAGAAATTGAGGATCATGTTAACAAAAATGATTCTGATGATTTAAAACCACCTATATTAGAACGCCAAGACATGCAGGTATTTCCAACAAAACATATCTATACATTATATATACACACACACACACACACACATATATATATATATATATATATATATATATATATATATATATATATATATATATATATATATATATATATATATATATATATATATATAATATGCATTTAACATAACTTAACACATCTAATATTGTTAAAAAGAACTAAACTTATAATTTGGCAAAACCGATCATCAGATTGCAATCCGCAAGAACCTATGCAGAAAGACCAAGATAACATTCAGGTACCCACAGCCATATATATTTATAATTGAAAAATCATTAATAATCATTTTTTTTTCAAAGTAAACATATAAACATTTGTAAATGTAGGAAAAGAAATGTAATAATGATATCAAACAAAATGAAGAATCAGATAATAATTCAAAACAACCTATGATGGAATGCCAACTCATTGTTTAGGAAAGTTAAAGTATATATATATATAATAATATGTGTGTGTGTGTGTGTGTGTGTGTGTGTGTGTGTGTGTGTGTGTGTGTGTGTGTGTGTGTGTGTGTGTGTGTGTGTGTGTGTGTGTGTGTGTGTGTGTGTGTGTGTGTGTGTGTGTGTGTGTGTGTGTGTGTGTGTGTGTGTGTGTGTGTGTGTGTGTGTGTGTGTGTGTGTGTGTGTAATTATGTATTTATCTGATTCAATATAAACAGGTAATAGCCAACACTTGTATTTGCTATTAGCCAACACTTGTATTTGCTATTAACTTGTATTTCAATTAATACATGAATAAAAGAGTTTATGTTTAGGCTACCATGTGAGATGGTGTGGATGACCATATTCAATAACAAGAACAATTGTGCAATGATATATTTTGAATGATTTCATTAGGACACACACAAACATTTACTTAATGATTTAACTAATTTGTTATTACATTATAAATATTTAATTTTTAGGAAAAGGTTCCTGATGATAATGAAGGCCAAAACACTGTTCAGGTATGTTTACTTGATTTATGTAATGTGCTTTATTTTCAATTTCATTACTTAAATTAATTTATTTAGTAATCAACCTTAATTAAATATGTCAATTTTTATAATATTAAAATGATTTAATTTGAATAATTATAGTTATCATATATATACCATCTTATTTATTAAAATAGCTTATTATTATTAAGAAAGGTGTTCTGTTGTTTCGTTTTTAAATAATTTATTTACCTATTTTTATGTTCACGAAAAGCCATCTTTTGATAAAGAAATTGAGGATCATGTTAACAAAAATGATTCTGATGATTTAAAACCACCTATATTAGAACGCCAAGACATGCAGGTATTTCCAACAAAACATATCTATACATTATATACACACACACACATATATATATATATATATATATATATATATATATATATATATATATATATATATATATATATATATATATAATATGTATAATATGCATTTAACATAACTTAACACATCTAATATTGTTAAAAAGAACTAAACTTATAATTTGGCAAATCATAATATATTCAAAATATCTAGTTAAAATAGTATATTTTTAGGAATACTTAACATTAATTTTAATGAGTTATGAAAAGATATCTTATAGAAATTAGTTATACTTACACATATGTGGGAAAAAAACAATCCTATCATGTTTTAATGTCAATATTTTTTACTTTCATTTATCTGAATATTTTAGCTAAAAGTTTAATTTTCATAATACTAAAGATAGAATTTTTTTAGTCAGGTAAATAATAAATTTACAATACCCTAAATTTCTAGCTAAAATCCACAGATATACTTTTACATTTATATTTTGTGTACTTTTATATTTGTATACATTCATTTTAATTTACTAAATGAAAGATAAATATCTTTTCGATGGTGAGATTATCACTAGTAACTTTATTTCTAGAATGGAGATAACAAACTAGATGAATACAAGGATCCAGAGGGAACTAATGGAGAAGTAAATAGGATAAATATATTCCAACTAAGAGCAAAATTTATTTAAATTATTATATATTTTATGTATGAGCTTAAAAAAATAATAAAACAAATTTGAGGTTGCTTAAAATCTGAACTATTTCTTTGATAAAAATAATTATAAATTTTCCTTTTAAATATAATAATTATTGATTTTGAATTAAATTTTTTTTACATTCATTTTAATTTACTTAAAGAAAGATAAATAACTTTTCGATGATGAGATTATCATTAGTCACTTTATTTCTAGAATGAAGATGATAAAGTTGATAAAGACAAGGAACTAGGAGCAAGTAGCGATGAAGATAATAGGGTAAATATATTCCAACTAAAAGCAAAATTTATTTAAATTGTTATATATTTTATGAATGAGCTTAAACAAATATTAAAACAAATAAAAGATAAAATGACTAAAAAAGAGATCAATTAATTATCTATACTAGACAGAGTAGTGATAAAAATAATTATACAATTCTTATAATTGTTCCTTTTGAATATAATAATTATTAATTTTAAACTAATTTTTTTATAAAAAAGAAAAACACATTCAATGGTGTTTCAGAGGTAAGAGTTCTATTTAATAAAAGATTAAATAATTTAAGTGAACACATATTTTTTTATGTATATTTATAAATAGATAATATTATTAAAAAAATATTAGTCTCCCTCCTTACGATTTTTCACATCTTCACAGTGTTCATCAGAAGATATGTTAAAAATATATATAATTAAAATAATCTTGCATCTATTACACTTTAACAAACGAGAATCTCTTTTTTGTTTTATTGTGTTTTAGGATAATGATGAAGAGGAAGATGACGATTATGCGAGCCAGAGTGAGGATAGTGACGTTGTAAGTATATAGAAAAAATGAGATTTTAGGGAGATTTAATTGTTATATAGGTTTCTAATTTGATTTAGTTAACAGAATATGCATATAAACTAAAAACATACATCATCCTTAATTCATAGTTTTATAGATATAAATAGTTACATTCATAACTTATTCTTACACAAAATTTCTTCAAAAAGCCTATAGTTATGACAATGGTTATTCACAAATTAATTAAAGCCATTATTATTTTCGGATACAGGTATATTCTGAAGGCAAACATACTTGTATCATTTAGTCATGTCAATATTTTTCACTTTCATTTATCTGAATATTTTAGCTCAAAATGTAATTTTGATAATTCAAAAGAAAGATTTTTTTTAGTAAGGTAAATAATAAATTTACAATATCCTAAATTTCTAGCTAAAATCCAAAGATTTACTTTTAAATTTATATCTTATATACTTTTATATTTTTATACATTCATTTTAATATACTAAAAGAAAGATAAATATATTTTTGATGATGAGATTATCATTAGTCACTTTATTTCTAGAATGAAGATGATACACTTGATGAAGACTATGATCCAAGAGCAAGTAGCGATGAAGATAATAGGGTAAATATATTCCAACTAAAAGCAAAATTGATTTAAATTGTTATATATTTTATGTATGAGCTTAAACAAATATTAAAACAAATAAAAGATAAAAATGACTAAAAAAGAGATCAATTAATTATCTGTACTAGACAGATTAGTGATAAAAATAATTATACAATTCTTATAAATGTTCCTTTTAAATATAATAATTATTAATTTTAAAAATTTTTATTTTTATTTTTTTTTTTATAAAAAAGAAAAATACATTCAATGGTGAGAGTTCTATTTAATAAAATATTATATAATTTAAGTGTACACATATTTTATGTATATATATATATATATATATATATATACATAATGTTTATGTATATTTATAAATAGTTATATTCTTAAAAAAATATTTCAGTCTCCTCCTTACACATCTTCATCAGAAGATAAGGTAAAAATAGATGTAATTAAAATAATCTTGGCTCAATTACATTCTTTTTTCTTTTATTTTGTTTTAGGATAACACTGATAACGGTGACGATTATATGAGTGGGAGGGAGGATAGTGACGATGTGAGTATATAGAAAAAACGACATTATAGGAAGATTTAATTGTAATTTTGTATTAATGTTATATAGGTTTCTAATTTTATTTAGCTCAACAGAATATGTATAGAAACTAAAAACGATAGGTTCTTCAAAGTTGTTGTTGTTTAGAGCCTAGAGGCATAAAACCCCAATGTCTTCAAAATCTTTATTTCAATAATACACCACTTTGATTGTATTGTTTTTCAGACTACATCTTCGGGAGCTTTGGTTATAGACATAGGAGGACTGACTAAAATACCATATGCTTTTTCACCTATTGGATGGGACAACTGGTCAACTGCATTAAAAATGGGATTATCAAATGCTGTGAGTAAAACATATCAAAGTACATAATCAAAAGTACTCCTCATATTGTTAAAAATGTTATCAATTATGTATCTGTTATTGATTAGGATTAGTTATATGTTTAATGACAATATATTTTAATAAACAAATAACTGTAGTATGGCAGTCACTACATGGAGAAAATTGTGAAAAATAAGTAACTACAGAAATCTTAAAAGTGAATATTAAAAAAAAATTAACTAAAACTATTATAAGGTTATTGTTGATAGAATTTAAAACGAAGCCCGTAAAGTAGTACTAGATAGCTAGTCAGTCAAGCTTTCACTGGTTCAGGCATCATCAGGCTCTAAAAGACATTTAGGAAAACTAGAGATGGAACATCTCAATTCATCTGCAAAAACACAGAGTAAACAAAGAAGAAGTATATGATGCGTGACTTGTAAACAGTTCAACATATAGGTTAAAGGCACCTATTATGGACATATTACCAATTACTGACACTTTTAACTAAAATTTGACAAAATAAGTGTTTAGGTTCATTTAGGATTTCAAACTTGGTGCCCTTCAAAGGCTGATTAATGTGCCTTTGAAATGGTGGCAAGCTTTAAATCTTACGTGAACCTAAATGCTCGTTTTATCAAATTTAAGTTACAAGTGTCAATAATTGGAAATATGTCAATAATAAATGTCTTTACCTTGCTGAATTAAAGTTCAAACATTCTCTAAGCTTTACATTCCACATCTTACTTTTTCGTTGCCTCTATACATTTTATTTTAGCTCTGATGATATCTTAAACAAATGAATGAATAAATAATAAAGCAAAAATGATGGAATTTTTCAAAATATGATTAAAAATTTCATTAGTTGGGTAACCAATTTTTAAATTTTTTTTGTCATATCCGTTTACACATTACATATGTGCTTTACAGATATTGTTTATTTATTTATCTAGATATAAAATACATGTACACACTCCTCTTTCACATCACTTACAGATTATGTAGATATTGCTTAATTTAAAATAAAAAAATAAACCAACATTAACACTCAAAACTAAAACATATATTTTTAGATTATCAAAGAACTTCAAGCAGCTATTATGCCTCTGATAAATCAGAGAACTCCAAGACAGGAGTACAGACAACCAGGGATTCCACTGTTCGCCATACCTGACTGGATAAGAAAAGAAGAAGAAGAAATTAGAAAACGGAGGCAGATTATGTGGGAAACGTACTACAAGGTACAAATTTAAATAAAATACAATACACCATATTTCCCATTTAATGCTATTTTCCAAAATATGTAGGAGTATTAATAATAAGTAAGATCAAGATTTTAAGGATTAGTCTTCTTTTTTTTGGCCTGTTTAAGGGAAAGCTGAGATCTCAAAAGATCTTTGTGGTTCTTGGCTACCATACAATGGGCTAGCTTTGAGACACTTTCCAAAGTTTTAAGCTGCTTCTATCTTTATTTTCAAAGTTAAAATTCTGAAAAATTATTAATGTATAAGGTCAGTCCTTACAAAATATGACAAAACAATAACTCTATAAAGAAGAGTATTTTACTAAAAAAAATTAAATTTTTCCTAATCATACCCCATTGATTAGGGTAAAATTGGGACAGTGCATTATCTCCATTAGAAACTTCAGGAAACGTGATTTTGTACCAATGTTACCCCACTAAATTGTATAGACTCATTATTTACACAAGAAACAATAAGGAAAATGAGTGTATACCAATTTTATCCAACAATACTGAATTTAAGAGCACACGAGGACAAAAAAATCGCATTTGTGTTACAAAAATATTGAAATTCGTATTTTTTAAAAATAATTAGACCATGAACATTTACTGAACAAACAGAAAATGTAATAATTATTATTCAAACACTCTTAAAATTAAGTTTTTGATAACTGAAGCCAAGAGAGATGCAAACTTGCAGCTCTTTCACTTTGAAATTTGTCCTTTGAGTAGTGAATTTCTTAGGCATTGAAAGCCATTTTCAATTTAAAGCCGATTTCATAATACCCAGTATTAACACTTTGGTAATCTGGTGTTTGCAGTTCTTCAAGCATAAGCAAGTTCCATTAAAACAAGAATCTTGAATAAAGCAATGGAAATAAATAAAACTTAACTGCACTATGAGTTTAGTGAACTAGGGTTCTGAAACTGCCGCAAGATAAAAGCGCAGTATATGCATACACAAAGCATATTTCGCAGACTGAAACAACACAGTGTATCTACTATTGTTGCCCAAATGACGCGTCTTGGTCTTGCAAACTCAGTCTTGGAGATGGTCTTGTTCTTGCGCAAGAGTCTCGCAACAGTCTCTCAGTTACTTATTAGCTTATTACTGTAGAGATATTACTTTTTTTTAGATAGGAGAAACCTAACTAAGCCCGAATGAAATATTAAAGGAGTTAAATGCAAAAGTATATTGGTTATACCAATTATTAACTATATAGTAACTGAGATTGTCAAGTATTAGTAACTATTATGCCTTAATTTTTATTTAAAAAATCGATTTTTTTAACCAGTCTTAGTCTTGGTCTTGCAGCAGTTAGGCGGCCTTGGTCTTGGTCTTGCAAAGTACAAGACCAAGATCGATTTTGAGCAACACTAGTATCTACCGCAGAATCACCACAAACTAAATTTTACTCGCTGTCCTAAAGTTACCCACCCAGTCCCTAAGTTACCCCATCTTACAGTATTAAATTTAAAATACAAAATCCTATAGGATCTTTTTTGACCTATTTTGCAATTTTGGAATAACATGAATCTTTTTTTACAATTTTTAACAAAAAAAAAAGTTTTTCAATTTTTGATATCTCTTTAATTAAAGAGATCTCGTGTAGGGTATTCATTCTGAGTTGGATTAAACTTAATATGTTCAAGAATTATTATGTGTGCTTTTTTGCTTAAATGTCTAATTATTTCAATTTATTAAAAAAAAAAAAGTAAAACCCCCGTAATAATTGAATATTTTTCTAGAAATCATTAGTAAGTAATATTCATCAAAACCAAACACTTGTGTTTAAAACTGAGGTAGTTATCATTTTCCTACTTAACTCAATGAAATATTGGCTGTTTACACATAGCAATGATTCCATTATCCAAGCTAATTCTGTACAGTCTACAATAATACAAAACATGAACGTTTTATCAACATTCTGGGATAAATGAAAAATGCTTCTCCCCACTATTGAATATCAGACAACGTAGCATCCTATACTACATTTCTGTTCTATACAGTTTTAAAATAAAAAACTATTTGTTACCAATTTTATGGAAAACTAAAAATTCCATACTTATTATTTAAGCTCCACAAATACAATTGTATAGTACATACTATTGTTAATAAATGGTTTAAGATCTAAAAATTGATTTTTATGGTCTATTTATTTGTAAATTTAGATTTTATGATTTGGATCCTAATAATAAACCACCAATATTTGTTTACCAGAATACCTTGTGTAAAATGGCACTTTAACAAAGATAAACCTTTTCATTAAGCATAGTTTCGTTTTATGGTAATAACTAAGGGGTTACCAAGCTTTTTATTAGTTTTATTTAGCAATTTACCTAATAGATTACTAGTTTTAACAGATAATAGTTCAACAAATAACTCACATCATCCTCAGATATATGCGAATTGGAGGAGTTGAGGTTTCTGTTGGAAGAAATTTACTCATTAGCAACATTAGAAGTAAAATGCTTTGTTAATTTAGTCGGACAAGTAGATTCTTATGCATGTAGCAGCTGTGTGCCATAAATATTGTGTGTGACTAATGTTTTTATATGCAGGGTATTTCAGCTTTATATAATCAAATTCTGGGTAGCCAGTTGTGCAATTATCAATTAACATAAAAAGTTTTATTGATTTTTTCCCAAATCATTTTGTTTCAAAGATATTTTAGATTCTGTGTTTTTTCAACGTTTTGCTGCTCTATTAAACAAAATGATATCCTATCCCTATTTTCACTGCAGTTTTCTTATTACAACCTTGTTGTCAACATTCAAAGTCACTGAAAAAAGGGTATGTAGATCAGTCCAAACATTTGGAATTTAAATCTGAGGTAATTTTAATGATTTCCATTAAATACATTTAAGTCGATAATTAAGTATGGTAATGGTTATTATTTAACTTTTATTTCACAAACTTTTTTTATGATAGATTAAATGAACAAAAATATGTAATATTTTATAAGATTCATAAAAATATAAGAAACAAAAATATATTAACATATATACCAAATATATTGAGAAGATAAATGTTTAGTTGAAATTTAAAATGATAGTATAAGTGAACATAATATTTTTTTTTAACTATATATCTGTTTAAACTATACATATATATATTAAGATGATTTAATTAAAATTTTAAGGATTTGGTCGAAGATGGAACCTTGGGTCATCCATTGCACAACTTATTAAAACGCTCTAACCAATTAACTGAAGAGGAATCTCCTAAAGAGGTATGAGGCATTACTTGCTATTTACTTATTAAAAGATTTTATTATTTATTTGGTAGGGGGAGATCAATTGAGGCAACCACATAAAACTTGTCAAACTAAAATAATATTCATTAGGCATAAAAATGATGTGAAGTACATTATTATTACTATAATATCCAAACAACGAATTATAATTTCCATGCCTCGTGGCAAATTGAAGGTTCAGAAATAGCAATAAGTTATAAATTGTCAAAAAAGATTGTTATAAATTAATATTTTTTAGTTTTTTAACAGAAATCAATTTCATGCACATTTTCTAGTTATTTTGTTTTCCCAGTCTTCATCAAATTGTTAGTTAAAGATATTGTTTTGAAAGGTTTTTAGGGAAATTTTTAAGATTTATATTATATTTCAGTATTCGACTTTTTATATAAGACAAGTCAGTGGAAACTTATTTAATGATCAATTTTAAAATAATAATTTAAAAACTAAAAAAAAAACACTTCCTTCAATGTTTCAATTTCACAGAGAGAAAAAATTATGTTGATTTGATCAAACAGAAATTTATAGCAGTTTATATAATAGACAAAAAACAAATTAAAAAACTAACTATTTAACTATGTGATGCTACAGTCCTGTGAGGACCTGGGACACCTAGACCACCTTTATCCAATTCTCTCCAATCACTGCCTCAACCTCCACATCCTTACAACTATTTTCTGGAAATCTTTCTTCAAATTATTTATCCATCTAAGGTACGCTTGGATTTTCTTTAAGCATGCAGTTGGGAGTACTGCGCTCTTCCACACACTCCACATGTCCAATCTATGTCAGCCTATGTATACCTATGTTGATTCTGCATTTACATGTCATATATAGTACCATATATTTTTCCAAGTTCTTTCATTCCTCATATTCGGAGTGAACATATATTCTTCATAAAGATTATATTATTTGTTATAATTGTATTATTTTTTTTCAGAAAAAAGTTAAGCTGGATGATCCACTTTCATTGGCACCTAAAGGGTAGGTGATAAAAACAGTAAGATGTAAATGACTACCTTTAACTCTTTCTCAATAAAACATAGTATTTATTAAAATAAAGAACTTTAAATCCTCATTTAAATAAATAAAATCCTCTGTATTTCTCATTTTCTTATAATGATACTGATTATATTGTAATACTTGTTATTTTTACATGATCATTATAATGAGAATTATTAAATATTATAATGAACAGAGTTATTAATTGTTTTTACATTTTTACAGCGAAATGATTCCAAAATTGGTTGAACCAGGCTGTTCAGGGGTGAATCAAGTCGCAGAAGACAAGGGTAAATATTATTTTATATAAAATTAATCATTAACTCTATCTATACATCTTTTATAGAATATATGATAAAAACAAATCAAAAGAGTAAACTTATATGGATTAAGATTTATTGAAGTAAAATCACTTAGACAATAATCTGTAAAGTTGATTTTTTTACTTTACATTATTAAAGCTGATTTTTCTAAATTATAAAGGACAACAGAAACAAATCCTTAATGTTACAGATGACAATTGAATATAGATGACAGTTGAACAATGGTTACTAACTGATTTAATGACAAATACAAGTAAAATATTAACTCATATTAAAAAAAAAAAAAAATTAACATCTGTCCAGCACCAGAACTAAATTTTTTTCGGGAAGGGCAAGCTTAGTATCGCTGCCCCATCCTTTACTTCACACAGTCCCCTAAAAAAAGTTAATAAATAATAAATAAATATCAATTAATTAATTAATAATAAATATTAATAATTACATATTAATTAATTAATAAATAAATACTAATTAATTAATAAATAATACATTGTAGCATAAGCACATTTTATAGACTAAATTAATGTCAGAACAATCAAAAAGCTAAAATAAATATATATTTTATTAAACCTAAAAAAACAATTTTATTTAAAATTTGCTGACCCCTAAAGTCTATTACCCGGGGCAAATGTCTGATTTGCTCCTCTCCAGTTCCAGCCTTGTATCTGACATTAGGAGTTTAATTTTTTTGTTTTGTGTAAAGTAGTTTATTTTCTATGTAATGGTGTATGAATAATATTATGAGAATATTTATGAGTTTTAGAATTCAGTCAAAACCTTTGAATAATCTTTGTGGTTTATTTAGATAAAGAAGAGCCTGAAGAGATCCCTGAGTACTTTATGCAGGTTAATTCGAAGATTGGTATGGAAGTTATTGAAATTGATTTGGAGTTTTCAAAATTAATTAAGAATTAAATTTAAGGAAAGATTTTCTTTGTATTATTTTAAAAAATGTTTACTCTATCTATGTTTATTTTTTTTTTTATTAAAAATAATCATGTTATTTTATTTGTTCATTTTAATAATATATATATGTGTGTTAAGTCGTTTTCATTAAAATAATTTGTCAATAATAAAAATGTAACTTTAGTTTATACCTGTTATTTTATGTGAATTGTTACATCAAATATAAGTTTAAAATTTCAACTATACAATTTATAAATAACTAGATACATAGTTATTATTCTATGATGAAGCATTAGTTTTCAGTTTATTGATGAAAAATAGGAATTATTTATTGTAACAATATAGATTATTACAATCTTTTTATTAGTTGTTGGAAGATTTTAGCTAAAATTATTTTGATGAAAAACTACGACATTGTTGTAAAAATCAAAATGATATACATATGCTAAGTTAGTTCCAAAAGCACACCAAAAATTATTATTTAATCATTTGAATAAGTTTCTATTTACAGGTTTATAAATTACAGGCATTTAATTTAACTCAATATTGACTTATATTAAAGAAATAATATTGAGAGAATCATGTTAGCTAATTTATATATAATTGCTAACAAATGCAACTAATACATACCATATAGTAAAAATACATTAACAATTTTATTAAAATTCTTTTTAATATAACAATTATTATTATATAAATAAATAAGCATTTAATGATTTTCAATATTATTTCACTATTTAAATATTACATATTTGTTAGTTATATAATTATTAATATATAGTTTTACCCTTATTGTATGTTATTTACCCTTAATGTGTTATTTACCCTTAATGTGTTATTTACCCTTAATGTGTTATTTACCCTTAATGTGTTATTTACCCTTAATGTGTTATTTACCCTTAATGTGTTATTTACCCTTAATGTGTTATTTACCCTTAATGTGTTATTTACCCTTAATGTGTTATTTACCCTTAATGTGTGTATTATAACATTTGTACCACCTTTAAGTATTCATTATAATAGCAATACCATTTTAACATGTATATTATAATACATAGTTATATCATCTAAATGTTTTCATAATTATAGTTATTTTACTCCCGATATGTTCATTATAATAGCTATTTACATCACTTATATTGTTCTTTATAATAGTAATACCACCCCTTATGTTCCCCTCATATGTTCATCCCTTGATAATATTTATATTCTTAATGTGTTCATTATAATTGTCACAGAACCTTAATCTGCACATTATGATAGTTATACCACCTTAGTGTGTTCATTATAATAGTTATAACTATGTATTCAGATAAATAAATGTTTTATTTGGTAATATTTCTTAAAAATAAAAAAAAAAAGAAAAAGAAGTTGTGTAATTAATTTTTCATTACCTTCTATCTCTTGTTTAAGAAAAAATTTAATTATCTGCTCATGGAAACAAATGGGTGAAAAAGAAAGAAGTGAAAAAGAAATGGGTGACCATCTTATCAAAGAATTAGCTTTAAGTGTTTATCTTCTAATGACACCATATTTTGATAATCACACTAAAGATCATAATCTCCTATATTTAAAAATGATAAGTTGAACGAATAAATAATTCGAATCGAATAATTAATTTCAATTATAATTATTATAACTAGAAAGAAGTCTTATAATGATATAAACATATAATAACGTAAATAGACATGCTCATACAAGCATAACAACCCCATAAATGCAGGTAGATCATATAAACAGACCTTGGGATTCTACCTGTCATTAATTAAATTGTCATAAAACTATAATATTATAAATAATGACCGATTGTTAGAAGTCAACTACTTTAAAACGTTGAATAAATATTTCAGATATAAAGTCCCAACTCTGCCGATGACACGTGTATCCTATCAGTTAATAACGATACATCTATTGCATCCCAAACTCTTCAATCACACATCAAGTCTTGAAAAATGGTGTCAAAACTGGAGGATTAAAATAAATTCCAATAAATCCCATCAAATTACCTTTACTCGTCGTCCTAAACCTATGACCTCTTGTCCTACAGTATCCTTTAACAATACCCGACTTATCCCTGTTGAACAAATACGATACCTTGGACTCCACCTGGACAAACGACTCACTTAGAACCCCCGAAGACTGAAACGACTTGAAACCGCCCGACGTTTTCGACTACTGTGGCACTTACTAGGCAAACGTTCTAAACTTCAAGTATTTACAAAAGACTCATATATATATTACTATAATAAGACCTATTTGGAATTACGGGATCGAGCTTTGGGACTCTACTAAACCATCAAATTCCTCTCTTATTCAATCCCTACATCCAAAATCCTTCCTAAAATCCTCAATGCTTCCTACTTTGTCACAAATAAAATCATCCATCACGAACTTAATGTACCACGTGTTTCCGATTAAGCTCAATCCAGATACCTTCCATAATAAGCTTCTGAATTATCGGAACTCTCTTATTTCCAACCTGGCTTCCTCTTCTATTCCTGATAACCCTCCGAGAGGTCTGAAAAGAAGATGGCCTCGGGACCTTCTAATATAGAAATATAGTTGGAGTGCTACCAATGGGTTGTTTCTCTTCATATTGTACATGCCATGTTACTTGTTTCATATTTCATATTACTTGTTGTATTTATCATTTAATACAGTTGTAAATTCCAATAATAAAAATTTAAAAGAAAGATATGAAGTCTACTCTATGATGGTTTGATATTGATAAGAAGTTCAATGTTTATGGCAGTTAAACTAACCAGCAAGCAATAGCACAATATGAAAAACTCATTGAGAGGGGAAAAACAAAAAGTATTGAAACATGTAAATTTTAACTATAAAGGCAGTTTTCTGTCAATTTAAATGATGTATATAATAATTTTAAAAAGTAATCTGGTGCGCGCAACACACAACTTTCACTTGCCGCTCTACTTTGAATAGAAATTATTTTATAGCAATGCCGGGCTATTGTAAAATTGTTTGAAGTGCATTTTAAACGGAGCTAAAGCTTAAAGCTTACAGATAACAAGTCATTAGGACCATTATGATTACAAAATGTCTATTTAATATATCGACGGTAGGCAATAAAAATCTAGTCACTCCATCTGCTTTTATAAACCACACAACTTTATTTGCTTTTATAAACCACAGAATGACTAACTCCAACTTCAACATTTTTGAGTGATCTCATTTTAGTGATATTTTTAGTTGAAAAAGTTATCTATGCAAACTATGAGTAAGTTGATTCCGGAGGTGGTGATTGCAGTGTTGAAATATAGAACTGAGAATAAAGGTATAAATTTAGGTATTTATTTCTTATGAAAGATGTCCTTAGGAAAGATACTTTAAATACCTGTAGAAAAAAAGTTGTTTTAGTCTCAATAAATAAAAAAGTATATTTTAAATTGCTCCAAATTCTCGCTTGTTCAGGGAAAAAAACTAGAGACCATATCTTTCCTCCTAATTGTCCAATTTTAACGATTTTTTAGGAAATTCGATAAATTTTTAAAAGACCGTATAAATAAAAATCAATATCCACAAAAAAGTGTATAATTTTTGAGTTATTCGGAATTTAATTTTCCAGCTTCTTTTCGTTGAAATATGTGATATAGATAAATTTAAAGGGTGTCGATAAAATGACTTTAGTGAAGTTTCATTGAAATCGTACGTACGTTCGTTTAGGCGCTACAGTCTAGAGCAACACAGGTTTTTCTGCAATTTTATTTATTTTTTTCTCCTTTATTAACTTATCAAATTCTTTCAAAAGTTATATGTAGCATTTTTTCGTTATTCTGAATAATGCGGAATGATTAACTTTTTAAAATAAACCATATTAAAGGTACTTTAGAGTAAGACATAAATGAACATTGGGCATTTAAGCCCTGTAAGGTGACATCAACGGCGATAAGACCTAAATGATATTAAAGACCACTCAATTATACAATGATACACCGAGTTTAATCAAAATCGTTAGAGCCGTTTTTTAGAAAATTGTAAAAATGTGTTTCAGCGTTTTTATGAAGTGGCACTTCCGGTAAGCCGATTTTAACAAAATAGTTGCTGTCAAATCCGGTCCATAAACAAACCTTAAATACTTAATATCAGTTGCGTACTACTTTTCGTTTATGAGCTAGACTGTTAACACACACACACACACACATCATTTTGCGACACTTGGTAATTTGGACTCAGGGGACATCAAAACATGTATTTCCGTTGAAAACTTAGATCCGAAAATTTTCACGATCGCAATACTCACCCTCACTATATATTACATATATACGTAAGTGAAAGTAATAAAGAATATTCAAATGAAGAAGTATGTTACAGAATATGGCTATTTTGTATCTACAATTGTAGAGGGCGAGGATACTATCGTTCTCCTCCAATAAAAATGTTAAGGGGGCGAGGAAGATATCGCTTCGCCCCCTCCCTCCCCCCAACAATTTGCTGTAAAAAGATTAATATCAGTAATAAATAAGCTATATAAATGAATAAAATGTGTAAACTAAAACCTATTAAGAAAAGTCGACTAACTGGCTAGGCTGGAGCCCTTAATAATGTTTATTGTAACTATCTTATTGATATCGAAATGCTACGTTTATTTAAATTGCCATTTATAATTAAAGAAAATAATAAATGGCAACATACCCAAGGATTTTATGATTCAATCACCCCTCAATTTTCACCTGAAATTCTTACCATATTTTCCTCGATAAACTAGTCGGAATGTGAAAAACGTTGTATTTTTATTTGAGATAGTACACACTAAGAAATCAATGATATTTATGACTTTTTTTTTTTGCATGATTCATTTTTACTGAAAAAGTTCTAGAAATGTACCAATGTTATGAAGACTGCATACGGTGTATATTCAATAGTATTTTACAGCAAATTTATATTTTTCAATACAAATATTTCAAATAGTATTCACTCGGCTGTATTTAATGGTAATAACGAATAGTGTTTTATTCCCATAATCTCATTAACAAATATTCCTATTTATTAATCAAAAATTAATATTCCCTCAAATTGACGGGTTTGAATATTGATTGATATTTGCAATCGCATTAACTCCTGTAAATGGGATTAGTATTTATATGTGTTATACAAATATAGTTATAAACAAATAAAGTTATGAATGAATATTGATCTTTATTAAACTATTTTTTTTTTCTCACAGATTCACAGGTATGAATACAAATATTCACAGACCTTTAAAGATAAAAGATGGTTGTACTTGTAGCAGGTGTGAAAAGAATATTGCCCTATTCACATAATCCAACTGATAAATATTCTTAATTACTAAACAAATATTAATATTCCGGCAAATTTAGAGATTTGAATATGAAAATTTTCTTACTTATACACGCTTCTACAAATGAATACATTCATATTTACAGATTTGATAAAGAATAGTGCCACATGTTATAAAAATATTGATAAATTATAAACTTTTGGGTCTATAATTTTGATGAACAGAGGGTAAAATCTTATCCATGCATCTTATTCAAACATTAACATATTAACACGGTTAATATATCCCAGTTTTATTCATCAAAAAAAAAAAAGGAAAATAAGTATCTACTTTTCTGTGTTGCCTCTGGTCATTTGAATCCTCCTATTTTATTTTTTATGTATTGATATGAAGTATCCTAATATTTAATAATATAACTATGAGTGTGCTTTTTAAAAATGTTGTTTCTAGTTCTACCACCGCTGCCCAATGAAAATATACTTATGAATACATTTAAAAAAAAATTATTACATTTTTTTTTTATACTCAAAAGGAACAATAGTTCAGCTACTGATTAGGGAGGAATCATAGACAGTAGACTATTCTCTTATTATGCAAAGTTTTGCGCAGCAACCACAAGAGTGAAACATAAATCAATCAATCAAATTTGAAAGAATAATTTTTTTTTTAAAACTTCTTTATTGAGATATTACAATCTGTCACATTCAAGGACAATAGTAATAGTGATATAGAGTAGCTCATTCATACCATGCAATAAATAAAAATAATAAACGGCAATATAATAATACTACAGTAAATTGTATATAAACTAAAAGATATTAAACTAAATAAAAATAAACCAATCTAACAAAATAAATAAACCAGACATACATGGCTTGAGTGGAGAATCTGGCCATTGCCATAACTCCTATATATTCTTACAACAAGTCTCTGGGCCACTGCCGCTTCGACCTTCGAGGAGGATTGTAGGGATGAGTAGTGCTAGAAAGGGATTTTGCAAATGGATTTGGATGATATGTAAGGTTTTGGTGGAATTTTTGAGGTATAAGGTCTAGGATAAATGGGATATTAAGGTCATGATGTAGGGTTTGGTAAAAAAATAAATAAAAA